TTAGCCATTGGACATTCTCAGTAACTGTCCCCAAAGGAACAGTGTGCACGCCAGCTTGTTTAGGTCAGCTGAGGATCAGGTCCAGTTACATAACAGGGATCCATTTGCCAGTAGGCATTCAGGGATTCTTAGGGTCACACAAACCAGCAAAGGAGCATTGTAAATCCTGAGCATTCTAGTGTTCACCCTGATGTTCAGGGACATGGTCAGTGACTTTGCAGGGGTTTCATGCAGGTGCTGGGGCCCTTCCGCTCTCATTTCAATGCAGGACTGGGCTCTGAAATATGAGTTGTTCCAGTCAAACTCCAGTTGTTGGAGGCGGTAATTTTGGCACTTCAGACTTTTCCATTTTTACCCTCAGTTGCAATTCCCAGTTTAGCCAGATTATTTTTCCTGGACACATTTTGGCAAATGGTAAAAACAGACTGTATTTTTGTGGAGAATTCTGGTATTGTAATAGCTATGGACTGGTGAACATTATATCACTCATGTCATCACTACATGGGATTCCAAGCTGTTAGTCTGAGGGCTTGTCTACATTACCAGCTGGATCAATGGGCAGCGATCGATCCAGCGGGAGTCGATTTATCGTGTCTAGCCTAAATGCGATAAATCAACCGCCGAGCGCTCTCCCGTCAACTCTGGTACTCGCAGGCGGAGTTGACGGGGGAGCATCAGCTGTCGACTTACCACAGTGAAGACACTGCAGTAAGTAGATCTAAGTACGTTGACTTCAGCTACGTTATTTATGTAGCTGAAGTTGTGTAATTTAGATCGATCCCCCCCCCCCCCCAGTGTAGACCAGGCCTGAGAGAGGCAATTTAGCTGCCTAATTTAAACACACCCAAATTCTACTCAATTTTAATTAACTCTGTGAATAAGGAAAAAAACCCTATTTCTTTGAGTTGGTGATGGAAAATTCATTGGTCGTAAGTGTGAAGATCGTCTGGCAACAGGGGCGGCTCCAGGCACCAGCGCACCAAGCGTGTGCCTGGTGCGGCAAGCTGCGGTGGATGGCCTGCCGGTCGCTGTGGGGGTGGCAATCAGGGAGCCTTCGGCGGCATGCCTGCGGGAGGTCCGCCGGTCCCGCGGCTTCAGCGGCAATTTGGCGGACCTCCCGCAAGCATGTCGCAGAATCCGCATTACCAGCGGACCTCCCGCAGGCGCGCCGCCGAAAGCCGCCTGACTGCCGTGCTTGGGGCGGCAAAATACATAGAGCCGCCCCTGTCTGGCAAATGGGGTCTGTCTCAAGAAAACTCCCCAAAAGTTCTTTTTTTTTAATAGGGAGCTATGGCAAATATCATTTGTAACTTCTCTCAAGCTCTTTATTGCCGGGAAGAGTTCCATTTTAAGTAGACCTCTTTCAATAACTTACCTATACTGCTTTGTCAACATTAGCTGTGATACCGGAGGGTTATCTTTCAAAATAAAAATAAAGAGAATTTTACTCTTTTTCTTCAGAAACACTGAAGGGAGCAACTGTATTATTCTTCCAATATTTTGTAACACCAAGAAAGTGCCTGATGGTTGTGTTTTCAATAAGCAATAAACATTTAATTTCAGCTGCAGCAGAGCCTTGTGAGGCAAGAATGTCAGCTAACTAATCTGGAAAACACAGTCCAGTTTATGGTTTCAAATAACTTTTCTGAAACATATCTCCATAGCTGACATCCTGCTTCAGTGGAATTTTCCTTTGTAAACTATACATAAATATCTTGTTCCATCGTTAACAAAATTGCTTTATACTGCAGATTAAAGATGAACATCGTGCTTCAGTCTCAGTTCTATAATCTTTTTCTTTATTTGTGAGCCATAGGAAATTTTTACTGATACTGACAGGCTAGAGATCTTTTTTGGGGAGTGGAGGGGGAGGTTAACTGGTAGTTAAAATAAGGGAATTTAACATTTACTGTGGCTAGAGCCCCAAAATGATGCAGCTAACATCAAAACATGGCATATGAGAAGTTATTTATTGTAAAATCAAATCCATGTGTTTTTGTAAAAACAAAAAAATTAAAAGGCAGAATATAAAATATTCCCCTTGCTGTGAACCCGTTCTTTTATCAAGACTCTTTTGAGGGGGGAGAAAGAGAGGTTGTCAGTGGTGGTGGTGACTAGACAGTGTGAAAGTGAAATGAATTATATTAAAGAAATAGAATGAATTAAAGAATTCTGTAGGTACCTTTAAGTAGAAATGAGAAATGCTGCAATCCATGTGGCAGGAAAGCAGACATTAACTGCTTAATGAATTGCCCCACTTAAGGGCAATTGGTGAAGCATTAACCTTAGATCGATAAAAGTTAATAAGGAAGCAGGATATGCATATTGTGCCCCATGCAAATTTTACAATTTTGCTCTCTCTGTCCCTTTGTTTAGTTCGCACCCTTTTATCTGCATAAATAAGACTGTTTGAATCTTGCATGGGGACTCACATTATCTGAATGTATTAGCAGAGCGCTGTGCTAATAAAACAGAGTGGTCTGACAAACTGGGAGTCCTGAGTCTAACTTTGACAACAGTTTCTCCCCCAAAAGCTTGGGGGACACTTTCTCATGACAGCAGCCACTCACTTTCTCTACACTCTGTGTAGCCTTCTCCCTCTAGCATACCCAGGGCAGCAGCCAAATTTTTGTTGGTTTAACTGAACTACAGCCAGTGAGAAAATGAACCAGGAATGGGATTAGAGCATGGAAATGGACATCAACAGGAAGCAACAAGATTTAGCATAGGTGTTCCAACTCCATGGCACTGCCTGAATACACATTGATGGGTGTGGATGTGTGGGAGGAACTGCGTAGATTGGCCTTTCCTTACCAATTTAAACACACATGCACACATGGTCATTTTATTAGCTAGGAATTTTACAGTATTAGAGTAAGAATAATGTAGCCCTTTTTCACACGGAAAATTAGTTGTTTAGGAAGCTAGACGGCAAAGTTGCAGAGACTATCTTGCTGAGACATCAGTAATTTGGGGTGCGTCATTTAAATGGCAGGCAGATTGGGTGTTTACGCCTCATTTAGTGACATACTGTCTCCACAGGAGGTTAGGACATCTTGTCAATGTATTTAAAAAAAAAAATTGGGGATTGCTTGTGAAAAAATGTGCAAGTATGTCTAACATAAATGGCATAAACTTGGATCTTGATACCCTCATACTTTGGGGGGAGGGATAGCTCAGTGGTTTGAGCATTGGTCTGCTAACCCAAGGTTGTGAGTTCAATCCTTGAGGGGGCCACTTCGGGATCTAGGGCAAAATCAGTGCTTGTTCCTGCTAGTGAAGGCAGGGGGCTGGACTCAATGACCTTTCAAGATCCATTCTAGGAGGTAGGATAGCTCCATTATTTTTTTTTTTTTTTTAAGAAAATAGATATTATGCTTAAAATGTTCCCAATTAACACTGGTCAAGATAATTTGATATGGTACTGATAAAACGTACATAGAAAACAGTAAACTGGCCACATTACTAAATTGAAGATTTCTTTTGCCTGTCAAACAAACCTCCAAAGCTTAAGTTTATTTTTTTTTCCTGCAAAGTAGAACTCAAGTAAGGATAACAGCATTTAGGGCTTGTCTACCCAAGAAAAAAGTCTGCAGGTGCTGGTGTACACCAGCTACTCCCCACTAACTCCCTGTGTGGACACTCTTGCTACACACAGTGCCTTTGTGCACATTAGCTTAGTGCACTTTGGAAATGTACTAGGCTAAACCACTCCAGGGACCCCTAAAGTGCAATAAGAGTGTTTACATGAGGAGTTGTGCGAAGTAGCTAGTTTGCTTTTAATTCACACTTTAGCTTACTACACACTAATTTCCCCATGTAAACAAGGTATTACAGAGATATGAGCCTTAGAAATACCCAAAATAGAACTGATGGATCTTTGTAGCATTCCTATGAAGTAAGTACTATTCCCATTTTACTGATAGGAAAACTGAGGTAAAAAAGCAAAGTGATTCACAAATTTAAGGGCTGGATTCTGCAAGGTACTGAGCACTCTGGCCCCAGTGCAATAAGGCATTTAACTAAGAGCCTAACTTTAAGCATTTATATGTCACCATTGGGCCAGATCCTCAGCTGCTGAAAATTGACTATGCCCATTTACACAAGTTTAGGAACAGTCCCACTGACTTCAATGGGGTTCTTTTATACTTTAGTAGCTTTTTTTGAGTCGGAGCCCTAGTGAGCTATGTGATTGCTATTTTTTATGAAAATAGTAAGTTTCTTTTTCTTTTGCAAGTGTTGGGCCCTCATAGGGAATGCTATAATAAAGTCACAGTCACATTCTCTCAGGCTTCAGACTCATGGATTGGGGTTTACTATATATGGTGGCCGTGATTCCAAAGTTTTGATGTCTATTTTTATGAAAGTTATGAGAAGTAAAGAAAGAACCATGTGCTACTAATTAGAGAACAATTTTAGAGACCCAGGAAAGTATTATTTCAAGGACTAATCGGGCTGCAGTTTAGTCTTTTTATTAATTCTGTATGATCCAGGCTGTCACTCTTATGTTGAGTGTCTGTGTACCCAAGAGAACTGATACTTTGCATGAAACATATTGGCATCCTGGAGAGTTGCTTACTGAACTGAAGTCTTAAGCTGTCAATTCACTGAAATGTTTTTGAAGAGCAACCACTCCACATTTTAGTAGTTTATGGTGTCCTTTTTACTCCATGACAATAAATGTTCAGAATCTCTGGCTGGTTGGGATTTGCCCCCTTAGGTACAGAAGAGAGATTCTGTACTGACAACTGTTCTTTTGGGTTGATGCTATTTGTAGAGAGGACCCTGATACCAAGAGCTCTGTTTTCCACCTTATTTTCACGAACCGGTGGCTATGAAGCAGACAAAATAAGTTAAAGCAGTATTGTGTTTTATTCTCCCAAAGAATATAGAGGAAGGGTGTGCGCCGGGTGCTTATAATTCTTAGTAGAAATATTCAGTTTTTAATTATATTCAGAACCAATTACAAAATGCATTTTCTTTTCTATTTTCTTTCACAGCAGCTTTCCAGATGTAAAAGTTAGCAAACGAAAATCACGTCGCCCCAAAACACCAGAAAGTGGTCAAGTACTTCCCAGGAGTAAGCAGCGGAAGAACTAGCAATATGGTCACCTTACTTCTAAGCCTATGCAGTCAACTGGATGCTGTACAACGTTTCCATACAGACTCCTTATTTTTTCCCAGCATATCTGGAGCACTTAAGAATTTAAAGCACTGAAATTATGTGTATTCATATCATTTTAACTGCCTTGAAATAACGGATTTACTTTATGCTTGCATCAAATGTGTTTGCTTACAATACCATAGGCCATTTCACTTTAAGAATGGACATACAGTATCAGTATCTTTCTATAAACATTTAACTCTTCTGCCCATATTTTTAGCATGACAGATATAGTGTATTGTGGGGGAAATGGTTTTTATCATTTAGGACCAAATTTTGACACCTTTTCCTCACCTTGAAGAGTAGTTTGCTCCACAAGTAGCCCTCTTGAGATCAGTGTGACTAGTTGTGGAGCAAGGTGTTGCTTAATGGACAAGACTGGCACCTTATAAAGGACAATGCGGTGTTGCACTGGTTCAGGAGCAGAGCACCGACCAAATGGTGATTGTCTCAGTTGAATCCCTACTTCCCCCTTGCTGGAAGTGGGGAAGTAGGCTTTGCTGGTTCATTTCCTTGCACTGCTTACCTCCACTCTGCTGGCTCAATTGGTTGACTGGTGCACGGTGGGAGGCAGAGACAGAAGACTGACTCCCTATCTACTGGTATAGGAGAGAGCATGTAGCTGTCTGATGCTGACTCCTCTGTACTGGGTGGTAGGGGATGCATAGGCCAGCTCACAGCGGGGACCAGTGTGAATAAGGATTTCAGAATCTGTCCCTTAACCACTGCATAAATAGATAAACAGGGGCCTGCATTTAAAATGTCTACATTTCCTAGGAATTACTGTAAAATGTTCAACATGCCACCAGGAGACAAACCATACTGAAGAATAATCTAAATCTAGTGACCTTTTGTATTGTCAGCATTTTATCTTAAATGTATGTGGCAGTTGGGCTCTGTTTGCATGGGTATTAACCAAAATCCTTGCCTTTTTGAAATCCGAAGGCGGATGATACTGCAGGGGGATTAGTATATTTGGTCGCTTTGGAGTAATTTGATTTTGCAGGTGGTATAAATATTTCATATTTCAAACCATTTCAGTCCCAAAGCAATATGCTGTGTGAGAATGTATATTCGTAAGGTTATTCTTATTCCTTAGTATTCTTTCATTATTGCAATTTAACCATTATGTTGAAATTGGAGATTCTATGGTTCTCAGACTTCAATTATTCTAGCTGTGAAATAAATATTAAAATGTATATATGCATATTTTAATAAAGTTAGGAGTTTTCCTAGTTGAAAGCAATACGAGAAAATTAAAGGAGCTCTTTCCTTTAAATAGTACGAATGCAGAGGAAACACATTCTCCATTAATTTAAAAATTATCAAATTTCGTCTTAGGAAGCAAAGTCTGCACTGGTCATGACTTGTCTTTGTGTTTTGTGTGACACACAAAATCCCAAAACTGGTTAAGGTGGATGGTTCTGTGAATTTATATTTTAAAATACAGTTTTGAGGTCTGAGATTACCCATGCTTCTACTGGGCAAATTGCTTACTATTAGGGTATTCCCATTCAACCCATGGTATTAAACAATACACCTGGTCTAATGGGCATATCTGCAGCTAGAGCAAACTGTCATAGCACAGATGATAAATAAGAGATTGGATGTTAAGATTTTCAATTACAGCAATCTCTTTGGGAGAAGGTAGCTACTAACTCCATTTATTAGGTCATTGTATTGTGATTCATGGCAACTAACAGAAGCAGGATGTAAATTCCACACAATTATATAGAGAAAGCTATAACATTTTTTTATATCGGTCACATCTCTTGACTTAAATGGAGCTATGACAGCTTATACCGGCCGAGGATGTCCTCAGTGGGTTTGCAGACAAGGTCCTTGGTTTTTTTTATAGGCCTGTTTTTACAACATGTTGGGGTTAGTAAGATACTTTAAAAAAAAATCAATATGATTTTACTCACTGCTAGGCATGGACAACTGCATCAAGGAACATTTAACCAATACTAGCACATACATGGAATTTAACCGCAGAGACAAGTGTGAATAAAATTTGAGGAGCAACAACATCTGGGCCTTTACATTGCTTGTTAATCTGTCACTAGTTGTGCGAACAGGAGGCTCTGAATCTGATGAAATGTTAAGGAGTATTATAGCTCAGTTGAAGTAGTGAGTATCTTTAGTTTGTTAATGTTGGTACAAAAGGCAACTGTTTAAGATTATAGAATTGCCAGCTTGTTTTTAAAGATGTGCATTTGCAAAGATAAACACATGAGGGTGTAAACAAAAATAAATCCCTTTATAAAAACCACTGTATCTTGGTGGAGTTGGATCTGTTAGTTTTCCTGTTCATGGTGTGTGCTCCTTGTGCTCTGGATATCACTAGTACATGAGGTTATTTCTGTATACTCTGCAGACAGTTTTGGAAGCAGTCACCCTGAAACAGTGAAATGTTTAAAACATAATATTTTGTGAAAGTTAAATACATGGCAAAATTCAGGATATTCTAGGAAAATCATGTGAATGATTGAAGGCTGTGTTCCAGAGATCTATTCTCTCAGTATACTCTGTTCCCTGAGCATCAAAATGGCCCTATGTCTTATACATAGATGATGGAAAATCAGAAATCATTAAACTAGAGTGATGTCATTGCAAGCAATACAGTAAGATAGATAGATATAAAATAATTTAAAAGAAGAAATCTGCTGGTTAGTGTTTTTATATGTTTTCCAATTTGTTTTCATTGCTGATTGTTTTAATTCTTTTTATTTTGTGATACTGTCTGCTAATGTCTCTTTCTAATAAAACTCTACAAATGCTTCTGTGTTGAGACCCATTTATTTCTTCTCTCCCCATTGTAAGACTTTATGGGTACTTAATTGCCCTTTCTTGCCTGCATCTGCCACGTCTCTAGTCATTTAACATTTTGATTTTACCCTTTTTATATGTTTGCACCAATTTTGGTGACCACCACTAATTTAATTATTATTGACTTTATGCTGGAGAAAACACTGACAAAGACAGACATGAAGTAGCCACATGGGGCATCGAGAAGTGGTTTTAAATTCTTTTGGGAAATCATGAAAGAATTACACTGAGCAGTAAATAAAGGCAAGAATGTGTAATCACGTAACAAAGTTAACTCCTTGGCCTCAGCTTATTTGCTACCATGCACCTATAGATCATTTTGGTTATAGATCTGACCAAAGCAGCAATGTTGTTTGCAGTAGCATTGTAGCCAGGATATTACAAAGACAAGGTAGGTGAGGTAATATCGTTTATTGGACCAATTGAGACTTGAGGAAGAGCTCTGTGTAGCTTGAAAGCTTTTATCTTTCACCAACAGAAGTTGCTCCAAAATCTTTCCTCACCCATCTTGTCTCCCCAAAGCAGCAATGGAATTAGAGGGTATCCATTATTACTGAATCCCATTTCCAAAGTAAGATCACATTCCAGTCCTAATTGAAATTGAAGTACATGTAGATGCTATGACTTAAGCTATGTCTACACTACCGTGGTAAGTTGACCTACCCTATGCAACTCCAGCTACGTGAATAACATACTGCATTAATGTGGGGTCTACGCTGTGGGGAGTCGATGGGAGAAAATCTCCCGTCAACTTAGCTTACTCTTCTTGTCGGGGTAGAGTACAGGGGTCCACTGGAGAGCGATCTGCAGTCGATTTGGTAGGTCTTTACTAGACCCACTAAATCGACCGGTGGATCGCTCTCAGAGTGTTAATTCCTGGCTGCAGTGTAGACCTGCCCTTAGGGAACAAAATGATAAAGTCCATGCTTACCAGATTCTCTTTAGTTTGTTTTCATTCTGGGGGCCAGTTATTACTATATGATTAACTATCAATGGTGTTGTATAACATTTATAGCAATGCTAGTTGCATTCTTGCCTGCTGGTAAGTGCAGCATTCTCTCACCTACATTGTATATCTTTCAGAATGGTTTAACATGGGGTGGGATGGGTCCATATGTTCCCCTGTTGTGCAAAAGAACACAGAGGGGAACAAGCTAGTGTAAAATGAGTGAAGGAGTAAGCACATTCTCTCCATCCCCCTTTCCATCAACTCAGAATATGCCTCATGCCAATTTGAAAGGTATTTTGGAAGAAGGTCCTATACAGTGTGTTAGAAGATCCTTCTTCAAAAACATTCTCAAAGCGTGACCTGTCTGAGAAAACTCTGGTGGTTTTTGGTGGCTAAATACTGCAGCATTCAAAGAAAATATTGCAGAGTACAGAGGGAGAACATCCGTTATAAGTATTGTACACAAAAGTGATTACTGCTTAAATGAAATGAATAATTAAATACTCTGTACAATGAAGAGATTTTCGCTAAGGTCATGTCTAGACTAGGAAAATAGCTAATGTTTAAGAACATGGTAGCTAACATTTTTTCACCAATATGTATTAGCTAGTGTTTTTGAAAACAAGTATAGTCAGTTGGGTCCCTTTTAAAACATATTAGCTGGCCAGCACCGGGAGACAGCCTACAGCCTTAATGCCATTGTTGGGTGACTGTAAGTAGTTGTCAATGCCAAGTAATTGATGTAGAAAGATAAAGTTACTGTATATTGTTTGAATATCTTAACTTCTTTCCATTGAAGTTGCCTTTGCGTGTTGTGTTGGAATGCTGGCAATACCATCTATTTATGAGGGATTTGTGGTAAGTATGGAAAAGGCTTTATTCCTGATGTCCCAAAAACAATTAATCTCTCTTCTTGCTATGTGGGAAAGTTCTTCCAGCTTGTCTGGAGCTGTGTGTGCAATGTATTTCCAACCACCAGCATGATAAATATGACATTAAGAGCACTGTCTCAGTTGTGTGTGTATCTGTTGATGCTGTCTAAACCTCTTCCTCTTGCTTTGGAGGTATTTCAAATGCTGCACTTATAAAATAAATGCACAGATAGAAATGTTGTGGTGCGTTTTGGTAATTGACTCATTCCTTTTGGATTTGAGGATGGAGATACTACTTAGTTAATGTATTGTATCGGGTATAGATGTATTGTCATCAATGTTATGTATTAAATTCTTTACAAACACAAGTTATATTACTCTGAAACCGGGACAGAGTTATATAAGACTGTCTTAATGGAACTGAAACAATACGGTCTTTTAGGGAGAGAATATTAAAGGATCAGAGTTATGATCTATGTGTATCTTAAAGGGAAGTTACATAATACTCTCACATTATTTAATAATGGCTAAGACTAGGAATAGCATGATGACTTACCATTGACTGTTGCATAGAGGCTGCTAAATTCCTAGATTCCTGTCATTAGGAAAAGCAATCTTTGAAATAATATATTTTTGACCGAAAGGTGGATTTTTGGACTCCTAATTTTTGCTGCCAAAAGTGTTTTTAGCCTTCATATTTCTACCATCAAACATACATTATGAAAAGCACACTTTAGGCAGGAGAAAATAACTTCCAAAACTCTGCTCACTTTTGGCATAACAAAATGATTTTCTAATGTGTATGCAGTGTCCTATTTAGAAGCTTTTGGGAACTTCTTTGCTCATTGGTAGGAAAGATTTTCAGCTCACTGCCATGAATCATGCAGAGTTTCCACTTGCAGCTCATGGAGTTACAAACAGGTATTTCTCATTAGCTCTTTGTCTAATCTATTTAAAATAGACTATATAATCTTTCAGTTGATGCTAGAGCCCAAAACATTACCAAGAAGAGTTTGTCTGATTTTTGACACCACTGAGCGATGGTGAATTTTGTTGACTAAGTATCCCAACTGGACATGATTGTTGTTGTTTTCAAGACATTTCTAGTTTTAATATATAGCATGGTTGCAGCTTCTGTGAAAAGTCTGTAATGTCCTCATCATGCCATGACATGCTCTGTGTGGGATGGGTAATGCTGCAGGAGTAGGGAAGGGATCGTCTGGACTGGGATTCATGAGATTTAGGATTAATTCCAACCCAGGCTTCCTATATGACCTTGAGTAAATCTCATAATCTATCCTGTGCTTCAGTTCCTCATTTGTAAAATGGGGATAACACCTCCCTACCTGGCAGGGGCAGTTTGAGGATAATATTCATTAATAATGACTGAAGTGCTCAGATACTACAGGGATAAGGCCATAAAAGCTCCTGAATAGATGGATGTTTATAACCATAAAAGAATATTTTTTTCTTGCTTACATTGATAGCATTCTCCACCCTAATCTAGTCACAGGGATGGATTGTCCTAGAAAAAGTTTTGTTATTGAAAGCACTTAAATGTTAGTGTTTCCCTGGCAAAAGCATTCACATCTAAACTTCTGTGATGCCAAGATTTATCAATGTAACTGTCAGATGCCAAAGATTTATCATCAAAAAAATTCAAATGCCAAACTTCTATTGCTGAAAATATTAAATGTTGAAACCTAGAGCGGATAATAATGTATCAGTGACACAGACTGCTAACAACTTTGATTTCATTTTTTTCAATGAACCCTTTACAAGAGATTTTGTGGAGGCTTCTGCAAGTTTTAAAGTGCAGAAAGCAAGTTGTAGAGGTTTTAATAAATATAAATTTTCAAGTTATAGGAAAACAAGACAAAGAAAAGGTGAGATGATAATCAAAATTCTCCTACCAGAAGAGTTTTCTTTAAAGCTTTATTATTAAAATATGGTGTGACCAATTTACTGTAAATAGTCCCCAAAAAAATCCCAATGACCCTTCTATATCATTAGAATAATCACACATGAAAATGGAGGTAATCTTCTGTTCCAAGTTGATGGTTGAAAATAGGGCTTGTTTTCTATTGGCACTGAAAATTCTTGTGCACAATCTTCCCTTTCTATGAGGGGAGGCAGTGCCCCGGGGCAGTCCCATGGCTGTAGTGCATCTATGGCAGATGAAGTCCACCTGTGGAGCCTCTAAAGGAATGTAGGAGAACCAGGCACCCAAACTACAACTCCCACGAGGCACCACAGTAGCATGTCTAAATCTAAATATTTTGTGCTTAGGCCAAACTATTTTGTTTTTTAGTCATTATGATTTTTTTAATGAAAAACCAAAATTTTTCATGAACAATCAGATACTTTTCACACACACAAAATTGATTAGGCAAAACCCCAATTTTACATCCAAAAAATAGTTTCAGTGGAAAATTTTCCACCAGCGTAAAGATGAGCACAGTCCAGCCTACTGGAGATATTGACCTATCTACTGCACATTGTGTCAGAACACATAATAAAGAATTTTATAATGATGATATGAATGAAGGGAATAATTGCACCACAAATTCTGAGACCCATAGCAATGTCATGGAGCAATAGAAATACATCTATAAAAATGAAAAGAGGCACATTCATGACAACTAAGTTCAGACGAGAAATAAATCTTAAGGACAGATATGCTGTTGAAGACATGTGGCTATTACAACCTGATGAGTTTACTGAGTTAACACTGAATCACTTGTGCAGTTAATCACAGAGATAAGGAAGTAACTATTTTTCAAAGTTTGATTTTTAGATGTAATTTCATTTAATAACGTCTAAGATTGAATGTTAAAGAGGAGTTGTGTGCTAGTCAAATTTCTATTTTAATAGAAAATCAATCAGTACTTCATGAATATGGAATGGTTCTCCTATCTACTTATGTGATCATTCTCTGTGAATATTGAAATTTGACCTTTTTCACGGTGCTATTATTTCATCTATCTACTTCTGAATTTTAACCACTGGCGACATGTGCAGACAATACTTGATTATAATCCTAAGAGCAGCAAAATATGGCTACCTACAAACATAGCAAAATAAATGTTTTTCATTCATAGGTAAGCATGTTTCCTTAACAAGGAAGGA